CTGTCTGTCTCTGCCTGTCTGTCTGTCTGTCTGTCTGTCCGTCCGTCCGTCTGTCTGTCTGTCTGTCTGTCTCTGTCGTTCTGTCTGTCTGTTTCTCTCTTTCTCTCTGTCTGTCTGTCTGTCTGTCCGTCCGTCCGTCCGTCCGTCCGTCCGTCCGTCCGTCCGTCCGTCTGTCTGCTTGCCTGTCTGCCTGTCTGCCTGTCTGCATGCACATATGTATGTATGTATGTATGTATGTATGTATGTATGTATGTACGTATGCATTTATTGTTGTACGTATGTAGGTGTGTATGCAGGTGTATAGGTAATTATGTATGTATGTAGGTATGTATATATGTATGTAATTATTTAGATAAGCATGTATATGTAGTTCTGAACCTACGTGTGCATGTCTGCAGGTACGCACAAACGCACGTGTGTTCATGTGTGTGTGTGTGTGCGTCCATGCATGCACGAAGTCATGCATGCATTGAGGAAGCAAGGAAAGAAGGACTGAAGGAAGGAGTGAATCCATCAATCAACGAATCAACAACTCAACCAATCAACCAATCAACCAACCAACCAACCAACCAACCAACCAACCAACCAACCAACCAACCAACCAACCAACCAACCAACCAACCAACCAACCAATCAAGCAATATCATCCAATGATTCAATGCATTGCTTAACGCATTTACGTATGCATGCCTACATGCATGCATGCACTTGCGTATACAAGTCTTAGACCCATGGATAGACATGGTAGGTAGGCAGATAGCCAGGTAGCTAGCCAAACAGCAGTGTGTGTGTGTGTGTGTGTGGAGGGGGTGTTTGCATACATGTCCTGCTGCAGAGCAGTCCTGAGCAAGTCATGTAGCTCGGGCTCGGGGAATGACACGTCATACGAGCGTAGCAGCAGCCAATGTGAGTAGCCGCAACCGCTCCCCCTGCACTCCCCGTAACACTCTGCGAATCCACCCACCCGCCCAAACGGAAAGATGGAGCCTGAGGATCGCAACTCCCTGCTAGACTCTACAGGCCCAACACTACATGCATCTACATCCTACACTTAGACCCTCGACCCCCAGCATTTATCCTCAACCCCCGCACCCCACTGCATAAACCACTGAAGCACTTAACCATAAGTCGGGAAACCTGACCGGAACTATCGACAACTCGACAAAACCTGAGTCAAAAGCAGGCGGCCTATCTTTGTCGCAGATCTCCTCCTTGTGAGCCAGGGTTGAATGGGGTTCAATAGGGTGTAGGTTTAGCGACTTTAGCGTTTAGGGTTTAGGGTTGAGGGGTTTAGGGTTTAGGGTTTAGGGTTTAGGGTTTAGGGGTTTAGGGGTTGAGGGGTTTGGTGTTTAGGGTTTAGGGTTTAGTTTATACAAGCTTTACATGGCGGTACAGCGTAAACGCATTGGCCTTGTGCCATTATTGGGTTACATAGGCTATATGCGTGTGTAGAGGGCTTTATGAGAGGAAGGGAGCCTGCAAAAGTAAATAGAGCCTGGGGGATCGCGGACCGAGGCCTGCGCAGCCAAAGTTATAATAGACAGAGAACAGTGAGAGAGAGAGAGAGAGAGCGAGAGAGTGAGAGAGAGAGAGNNGAGAGAGAGAGAGGGAGAGTGTACACTCAGAACATATGTGCAATAGAAGCGGCTCCACAGAGCACTCGAGTTCAAGCAAATCAGCATTGCAGAAACGTAAAATGTTTTCAGGCAAACGAACCAGAGAATCGTGTCAAACAATCTTGCTGAGTTTTGTGATCCTTCTCAAGTCGTCCCTACTCTCTTCGGAAGCTTGGGGACATCTGATTGCGGTGCGGTGCCTGCTCCTTCTCCCTGCAGATTGCCGTGCCCAAACCAGAGCCATCGCGACGAAAACTGAGTGCTGCGGTAGGAAGAGCTCTAGACAGTAAGCCCAAACATAAGGCCCAAAGCCCCGGGATCTGTAGACCTTGAACATCCCAAAATTCAAGCCGTCATCACATGCACGCTCAGCGCTACTTCGCCTCTTGCTGCGGCTATACTCCATGGCTTCGCCCTAGCTTACTCGTTACGGGCCTCGGGAGCTTAGATTCTGCAACTCAAGCTATGCACCAGGCTCCAAGCCACAAAAGAGCTGGCAGCAACTCTTGCAAGCTTGCAGGATCTTCCAAGCAACCAGAATCATGCACACACAAAGCCAGTCCCTTGAACCCAAGTATCTAGTCATGAGGTCCTTTGAACCCTTGGGGAATGTGTCAATCTGAGAAATCGCTGCAGCAAACTTTTGAGCATGTCGACTTCCTAGGGGTTTAGGGTTCAGGGTTCTGGCTCCCGACAAACGAACGGAGCACTTGCACCTCGATTCTCGTTAACGAGGCCCCCCAAAAACTGCAACTACTTGCACCTCGATTCTCGTTCCCGAGGCCCCCAAAAAACTACAACTGTTAGCTTTAACTCGCCAATCGGCAGCCATGCACGCAGACTTAGTCGTCGGAGTGTGGAAGGGCTGTATCGAACTCAATGTTACTCTCTTTCCAAAGCTGAACCGCCGAGGTAATGGTATAGTAGTAGTAGTAGTAG